CTTCTCTCACTCAGAGGAATTTTTCACTGGTCTCTCTCCATTCTCTGCGGGCTAAAATTAGTCTCCACCTTGGAGAAATGGACTGCAAAGTTCAGCCCTAAGTCTGACTGGTTTGCATCATTTGACCAGACCTTGAACCCTGAACATGTCTACCATTCAAAGAGAAGCTCAGTTTTAAGTTTTGCCCTCTTGGTTTCAGACGGCAGTAAGAACAGAAGGTCAACACTCTGTAAGGAGAAGCTACTCCAAACGAGCTCCAAAGCCTGGCCTGAGGTGGGCCCGAAGCCATCCAGATGTCTTGGAGAGCAGTGGCCAGACTCCTGGATGCCTAAGGAAATGGAGCCTCTGAGCCCAAGAAACATAGGCTGCTGGAAGTGGGAACTGAATAGAATCAACCCTTCTTGTAGCAAAGGTCAGGGAATTGTATCTGCATGAGGTGACTAGAGAGCAGGGAAGGAACCTGGGGGAGCTTGAAGCCCATGGTGGCCACCAAGGCCACCTGCTGTACTGCTTGCTGTCGAGACACATGGCACATGTCTGGTAGAGCTCACACCACTCCACATACATTGAAACTGCAAAGCCAGTGAAAACAGAGTGTGATGTCCCTGAAGGAAGAAGCCTCATGTCTATACCCAGGTAGCAGCCAACTAGACAGTTTCAGGGAGGCTCCCTGTATTGAATGTCAAACCTCAAACCGTCAGGGAGATCCAGACAACAGCACTCATGATGAGGGGTCCTAGGCCCAACCTGAAAGAACATCACCTTGGGGGCTGCAAGCTGAGCCCTTGTGGGTTGCTGCTGTCTAGAAAGACCCAGGACTTAAGCACTTACATCAAAGGAACAAAGTTGAGAAGCTAGAGGCTTTCAGAAAACTCTAAGGGGATTTCAAAACTGCATCTTACTCTACTTAAAGAATTCTAGAATACTTGGCGGAGACATCCCTCCCTCGAAGCAATTCTCCTCCAGCTTCCACATACGGAGGAGTCACTGGGAAGTGTGTACAGTGGCAGATTCAGACAGGAGCTTGGGATGGAGCCAAGACTGTGATTCCTAGCAAGTTCCCAGGTGGGGCCATGGCTACAGGCTCACAGTCTTTATGGACAGCAACAAAATGGCTCCAACTCCTCTTTGTAAACATTGTTACCAGATGGATTTCACATCATTAGAGAGCAAGAAGTCAGTCATGATGCTTCCCTCCCTTCCTTTCTTCTTCCTCCCTTTATCCTTCTCTCTTTCTCCTTTCTTCCTTCCCCTTCCCTCCCCTCCTTCCTCCACTGCTCCCTTCCTCTATCCCTCCCTCCCTTCCTCCTTTTCTCCCTTCCTTCCTCCCTGCCTCCCTCCCTTCTTCCCTCCTTCCCTCCTTCCTCCCTTCCTTCCCTCCTTCCTTCCTTCCTCCCTCCCTCCCTCCTCCCTCCCTCTGTCCCTCCTTCCCTCCCTCCTTCCTTCCTTGCCCCTTCCCTCCTTCCTTCCTTCCTTCCTTCCTTCCTTCCTTCCTCCTTCTCTCCCTCCCTCCCTTCCTTCCTTCCCTCCTTCCTCTCTTTCTCTCTTCCTCCCTTCCTCCCTCCCTATTTCCTATTTTGCCTCAGCACAATATATCATTATATTTGAGAAGGTCAAGACATGGATATTGAAACTCTTGCTTGGCTAACAAAGGTTTATTGGGGCTAAAATTTGAATTATACTTTTACCCAACTGAAGAAAAGACTAGTACAGACAGAGGTATATCCCTTCCTCCCCCACTTCCCAGCCCCCAGCCCTTGAATACCACTGAGAGTGCCCACAGAGGAAAGCTAAGAGCAGGTTGATTGACCTGGCAGGCTCTCCAATGACTTTAATCTATCAGATGTGCCAAGAGCAGGTTCCATTCAGCCCATGAAGTGTTGATATCTGTGCCTGAGCTCATTGTTGGTGTAACACAGTTTATAGGTAACTCCTCTGTTACAGAGCAAAGGTTTAACAACAATTCTATGACAGGGCTGGGGAGATGGCTCAGTTAGCAAAGTTAGAACCCAGAGAAAAAAAGCCAGACATGGGGACTGTGCTTATAGTGCCAGCACTGGGGAAGCAGAGATAAGAGAAACCCTCGGGTTCACTAGCCAGCCTAGGCTAATTGGGGAGCCCCAGGCCAGTGATAGACCCTGTCTCAATAAAGAAAGTCAAGATGAAAGAGACTTCTACACACTTGTGCACACGCAGGCGCGTGCACACACACACACACACACACACACACACACAGCCCATGCTCTATAGAGATTATTTAGCAAGGTTATCATCTGAAGGTTATTGCTACTATACTATACAATTGACACTGTACAATCTGTGTTATCATATATGCGGAGTTCAGAGATGGCACACAGAAACCATGAAATGAAAATGCGGACCCAACAGCATTTTAATTGGATGGAGTTACACACAGAGCTCTATACATTAATTACAGGGTTGTGCAACTACACATCTTTCAATCTTCACTGGTATTTTTATGGGGCCATTAACAAAGACACCTGAGCGTTTCTCCGCCCCACCCCCTGAGAGTGGCATTTCAGTGCTGTTGCCGGTCTGAGGAGGATGAAGACTACCATCCCATTCCTTGGCAGAGCCACAGTCCCCTGCAGCTGCTCTGGGACAGTTTTCCATCCAGCGGCCTGCATTCTGAGTCACTGGCAAGGATGGAGGGTGTGGGTCCACGGGTGAACTTAAAGAATCCTCAACGGCTCTGCTTAAAATGGGATTAAGTATTTCTGTGGGCGGTTCTCTGACGACAGACGTATCTTTTTGTCTTGGGATCCTAAAGAAATTTGAAGGCCAGGTTCACTGACAGCCAGCTGAGTCTCTACTTACTGTCATGGTTTGGAAAAGGCCCAGAAAAGTCCCAACTGCTGCCTCAGCGAGCTGTGAAGTTTTGCTTTGCAGTCAAGCCCAGGGAAGGCAGCCCAGGGCCGGCCCAGCACTCAAGCTTTTCTACTCTGCCCCCTGGTGTCCTGCATCATCCAGGACCCTAGGACAGCAGCCTGCAGAGGAGCCTCTGGAGACTCCTCGGGCAAAGAGACACACAAGGCTTGACGAAGCTGAGGCCTCCAAACCACGCTGGTGGCCATGAAGACACCTAAGGCTGAAAGCATCCGGGAGTTTCTGAAGCGAAATATCTCTAGGATTAATCTTCGCGGACCCTTGAGTTTCTCACTCTTGGTGAAGCGTGACTCACCTTTGAGAAAGCAGCTGCAGCGACAGCCCTGGGATCCTGGAAACCCTCCAGGGTCAAACAAGGCCCAAAGAGAGAAACCTAGCCGTGGCCTTAAGTCAGAAGGCTGGACTTTGGTAACTCCAGTGACTCAGGGCCAAAATGAAGATTATATTAACAAGGGATTTGAATAATGAGGATTACATTAACAAGGGATTCGACTTGAGGTGTAATGGGAAGCGTGCATTGTATTTAGATATTAATATGCTTCATAAAAGAAGTACAGACATTGTTTTAACTGTGGCCAAGTGTGGGCATTTGTGAGCTTACTTCTCAGCAAGACTAGGAGAAAGTGACCTGTAAAGTTGCAATTCCTGCTTTGGTCAAGACAGGAGTAAGTAAAAATGAAGTCTGGTTCTCCTGAAAGGCCTGTGTCATCGGAGGAAATGCCCTGGGTCTCTGTGTGGTCCACATTAACTTGTTGAGGACCCACTGAGGGGTTCCTCGGGGGCTCAGACTTCCTAAGCACCCCTGTGGGTGGTGCTTGGAATCCGGGGTTGGCACTTGGGACCTAGCCTGTCAGTTTCTCCCCAGGACGCGCCTTGAAATGTTCTGTGTACAGAACTGAGGACCTATGCAGATCAGAGCCAAAGAAAAAAACTGCATTAGGAAAAGAAAGTCATTCATCATCTGGGACCTACAGTAAGAATATTTGATTTGTCAGCAGGTAAGCCCAATAGGCAGGAAAAATGTAAATAGGCCAATGTGAACAGGAGTGTTCACACACCACAAAACCATCATGTCTTCACCACTTACTAACAAACATGGCTTCCTAGCAGAAGAAGGATTGCATGATATTCCCCAGGGCTGCGAGGAAATGCAGGCGCTCGGGCTGCCTTTCGGTCCTATAATGTCTTAATGGACCCAAAGTTTTACCTAGAGATATGAATTAGCAGTTGATTTGAGTTGAACTAAAGAAAGGCTGCAAACAGACCTTACAGGTAGAAACAGAAATTAACGGCGGTGCAGGGCTTTGCCCCGGAGTAGAAGTTCTCTACCCTGTGCTTTCCTCAAGGCCTCCTAATTTGAGTGTGTGAGTGTGCATGTGGGAATGGGTGTGGGGAGAGACGCACGCCATAGTTTTCTCTGTTTACTGAAAGAGATCTATGCTAAGTATGTCCACTGAGCAGGGGGGATAAAGCCACATCATTTGAGTTTTGATTAAAATGGTTTTTCATTGCACAATTAAAATGTGTTCTTTTTTCCAAACTTGAAAACGCCAGGAAGTTGCTAGCCCCCTTCCATGGTCTGCCTCTGATGGAAACCTTTCTTTTAGTTTGCTTTTGCCTTTTATAGTTTCACTTACACACTTTACCAAGGTCCTGACTCTCCCCAAGCTTATGCCCAGCAGTTTAAATGATGGGAGCCACATCCGGCCTCGGCAGCAACTTGGTGCCAGTGTTGAATTGCTACTGAATAGAAGCAGGAAGACAATCTTTATCTAAATAATCAGTAGTTCCCCAAACCACAAATAACAACAACAGGATCTGAGCTCTAAGTCAGCAAAAAGCATTGACAGAGGAGAATTGAGGCAGGGGCTTTTGGGTCTTTTTCTTCTTTTTTACATTCCCTTCACTGCAGGTTCTTTTCAACTATTTTCTTACACAGCCTGGGGGAGGGCAGGTGGAGGGAAGGAAGGGCATTGCTCAGAAAGTTTAAAAAAATTTTTGACATCACTTGTGTCATGTGATTGGCCAGAACCAATGAAGATGGGCTGCGGAAAAGGGAACAGTTAAATTTGTAATTTGGGTTGTGTGAAAACTTCTTTGGGCATCATAAACAACCACAGAACCACAAGTTGGGTAGGCTGGCAGTGTCAGCAGTGTAAGCCCAGCGCAGTGGTCAGCAGGGAGGGCGAATCATACCGAATGTAAACCACAGACTTTCGCAGAGCGGTGAGCACCTCAACCCACAGCCAAGGCGGCGCTTTTTTTTCTCAAATCTTTAAGAATTTGAATATTTGTTTCTGCAAAGTTTTTTTTTTTTTTCCATAGAGCTCAGGGAGTCCCAGAGGTGTTGAGGTTGTTGGGGGGAGGATTTAGGGAGCCATGGTTGGAGGTGAGGTGAAAGCCCATGACCTTTCTTGGTTTTTACTCTTAAGGTAAAAGAAATCATTGAATTCCCCGCCTTCGGAAGAGGTGCATTTTCAGAAGGAAACAATGGCTTCAGACAGCATTTTTGAGTCATTTCCTGCATACCCACAGTGCTTCATGAGAGGTAAGTATGCTGGTCTTTTAGTATCTGCTTTTGCTCAGCTCTGCAGACTGAAATGGCAATCTGCAGACCTTTTGGTACAGGGATCTCGATGCCTGCCGGGGGTTCCCTGTCTACTCAGTGGGAAGAATTCAAACAGAGGCGCGTGATTGCAAGGCTATTGGGTTACTCATTCATCAGACAGCAGGTCTTCAGAAATGTTTTAATAAGTGCTTAGTTAAGGTGTTGAAGTGTTCTGTCGCTGTGTGAGAGGCGCGTCAAGTGCAAACGCATTGGGTTGTGGTTTAAAGTCCTGGAGATTAGGGAGCTGGCACAAGTGAAACTCCTTGGGCTTTATATGGCTGTCCCTTGCCTGGAACCACTCTGTTGGAGAGATTCTGAACTCAGCAGGCTGCGTGGCCTTGGGAGTGGAGTGCCCCAGGGTTTTAGCAGGCACAGGTACTAAGTTGGCCAGGAGGACTGCTATCAGTGTCCAGAGGAAGAGGCAGCCCAGCCAACAGATTTCAGGGCTGAACTGGCAACTCAGCATAGGGCAGGACCTGGGCAGCCTCATTCCAGTTAAAATCATGAAAAGAGGCTGCACTATTGTTTGGCTTGTATCTGCAATTGCAAATAGGCAACCGCATCTTTCAAAAATGCCAGCATGTTGTGACATACAAGGTCTCTCTCAAAAAGAGCAATGAAGCCGAGATTCCTAAGCTTAGCATTCTCCAGGGTAAGCTCTTCAGGTCGCATGCTTATGGATAGACACAACAATCTCCCAAAGACTGCCTGCGATTTTGTAACTAGCCTCTCGTAATTTGCAGAGCTGGAGTTGAGCCGTGAGTGTGCATGTGTGTTTTGTGGGTCTTTCATGGTAACAGAGGACTGAGCTTAAACAAACAAAAATAATGGCATAAAAATGTCACAAAGGCATGGCTGTGCATCAGGGCGTGCACTTTGACCCACGTCTACAGCCTGTGGCTTGATGGTTTGGCAGAGCTGGAATGGAGCAGAATGGAATGGGGGACTCATTAGCTTTCTGGCTACAAACTCTTGTGCACACCCAAACAGTATCTGTGAATCATTATTTATTCATACGGCCAAATGAGCTGGGGAATGCAGAGGGCTTGCCAGCCATTCTGCCACAACAAATGCTATTGTGGATGCCACAGAGTTTCTATGCTTCCGGGTGTCTGAAATGTAAAAATTTGACAAGGTGTGTGTGTGTGTGTGTGTGTGTGTGGTGTTGGGGGTGGCAGGAGGATTTAGGGAGAAGGGGAAGAAAGCAACTCATTAAGTGATTCCAAGCTTCAAATTAAAGGGTTTCCAAGTGCTCCCTTCCTGGCAGCAGAGGAAATTGAGTGAGGTTGAATCATGGGGACTAGTGTGAGTCACACATAGTACAGTGTCCTGCATTGGGTACTGCAGAGACACCAGCCTGGGGGCCCCTGGCGAAAAGCCACCAACTGCTCTATTGCTGTGTTTCCTCTGGGCTGCCAGCTAGCAAAGGAAGCAATATTTGTAGAAAAACCGAAAAGAGATCTTCCTGACTTCACTCCACTTTCAATAACCGCTCCAAATGTTTATTGTTTCCTATTTTATCAACTCAGGAAGGCAGACGCAGGAAACTTTCCAACATTCCAATGGGCGATTGGTTGCATTGCAGTCTGCAGCACTGGTCTTCTGAGCTGTCTTTATGGGCCCAACAGCAAAGGTAGTTAGTGGCATGGTTGCAAAGAGCTAGAGGGAGCCTGGTTTCCCCAGACCCTGCTGAGCTTAGGAGCAAGTCAGCTGACTTTTGAGGAGCATACCTGCACAGACCCTCATGCACATCAAAACTCAAAAACAAACAAACAACAACAGCAAAAAATGATGGAGTGATGGTTCCATGTATGAAACACTTGCCACGCAAGCATGGAGTTCCGAGTTTGAATCCCCAAACCCATGTAAAAGTCAGGTCCAGTTGTGTGATCATCTGCAGTCCCAGAACCACCACAGGGAAGGAGGCAGACAGAATCCTTAGAGTCTCACAGGCCAGCTAACTGGGGCATGCACCAGTAAAGAGAACCTGCCTCAAACAAAGTAGAATGTGAGCACTAACTCCTCATACACTGCAGGCCTATCTTCTAGTGGCTGGAGTCCCTCCAGCCTAGAAGTTGTTCAAAGGGGATCACAGAATAGGGGGCTGAAGGTATGTCATGTGTTTTCCCATAAGCATGAGTTTATCAGTATTTAAATAAATACACACTGCAGCATGCGCTTGCCCCCACTCCCACACACGGACACACACACACACACATACATACACACATGTATCACATAAGACAAAATTTAGAATATCGTCTGAAAAGATCTCACTCCTTTCTGTGGAAAAGGAATTGAGGGGAAGAGACGCTGTCAGAATCCCTAACTCAATAGTATAAAATGGAAATTAAATTTCAGAGTCTAAGGAAAGCCTTGGCAACTTCCTGAGTTCATTTCACTCCATCCGAATCACCCATCCACACAAAGGTTTAAGTGGCTGTCCACACCACTCATCCGAGTGGGAAAAATGGCAAAACGTTTCTTTCGGTTTTGTTTGGACCTGGCCTCAGAACCTGGTACTAGAAAACACCATCCTGGACAGGCACTTCTTCCCCACAGTCTTTCCCCTGAAGCCACAGCTGGGCCATGCTAGGCTGTCCATGTGGTTGCTTCTCCTGCTTGTAATTTATGGTCTGTGTTCCCTCCCCAGCTGCAACTGTGAGCTGCCACAGAATCTTGTTTTCTTCCTGGGATGGCATTTATCAGTCCCTGCAATCCTCCCAGGAGGAAACCTGTAACTCGTTTTCAGCCTGATACCCGTGTGGAAACAGGGAGAAAACAGAGATGGGGAAGCGAACGAGGCATTGTTCCCTTTCTCATGAGACACGGGCTAGCGTCTGAGACACTGGCACGCGAGATGAATGTGGTCTACCACAGAGAGCTCGGCTTCTCTTGTATCACACCACACCAGGTTCTCAGTCTGCTTAGGCAAGAAGATAAGACTCAATTGAGACGCCCAGGAATTGTCACACGTGGTTGGCAGCATGAAACTCTTGCAGAACCCCAGCTTTGGTCCCCTCAAACGGTGCAATGTGTGAGGCGAAAGAGCTGTGCTGGGTGTGGAGGGGAAAGCACTGGCACTTTTTTTTTCAATGCCTCAAGTAGCCTTGTTCTTAGAAGTGGCTTAGTGGTCTAAGCAAAGGCTGAGTGCTGAAATGTCTCTGAGTTCCTAGAACCACAGGTTAAAAAAAAAATCTCAGCACATGGGGGTGCCTGTCTTCTTGGTGGTAACCAAGAGATTGTTCAAAAAGGGGATCTAAGAATGCTGGCTGAAAGTATGCAGTTTGTTTTCCCATGAGCGGCATTTATTGGTATTTAAATAAAAGTCATTAAGACACTTCCTCTCACACCACAGAAGACGTAAGTGACAGAAAGTCATAAACTATTCAGGGCATTGTCCATCCTGTGAAATCTATTAGTGAGTACTCAGACTGCTATAACAAAATACCACACTCAGGGGATTAAAAAGCAGAAATGTGTTTCCTCTAGAGGCCAGGAGTTTGAGAGCAAAGTATCAGTAGTGTCAGTTTCTTATGAGGTCTTGGTAGTTAGTTTTTAGCTTGTTGCCTCTCCCTGTTTCCTCTTGTGTTTCTCCCTTGGCATATCTATGTCCTAATTCATTCTCTCTCTCTCTCTCTCTCTCTCTCTCTCTCTCTCTCTC